GCTAGCAGAGATCATTTTGGAATGGAAGGGGCAGGCTAGCAGAGATCATTTTGGAATGGAAGGGGCAGGCTAGCAGAGATCATTTGGGAATGGAAGGGGCAGGCTAGCAGAGATCATTTGGGAATGGAAGGGGCAGGCTAACAGAGATCATTTGGGAATGGAAGGGGCAGGCTAACAGAGATCTTTTGGGAATGGAAGGGGCAGGCTAACAGAGATCTTTTGGGAAGCCCTCGTCATTCCTTCCCAGTCCCTTTAAATGACCAATGCTTGAGAGCCTGGGAATCTGGTAGACAATCTTCCTATGACAATTTGAAATCCGATCATGATATTGTTATTTTATGCTCACTCTCCCTCTCTCTCTCTCACTCACTATCTCTCTCTCTCTGTCTGGCTCCCTCTCTCTCTCTCCTGCAAAGCCCCAATTCCGAAACCCTACAAATTACGATCAAATTCCCCCACTTTCGAACCCCGCAATTTTGTAGCCCTCTCCCCCATTTCCGCGCTAAAAGATGCGCATAAATATCATCTTCTTTTCTACGCCTTTTTCTAACGGCCTTTTCCGGGTTTGACTTTCCGTCACAAACCTCCGACCAGCCCGGGTGCGAACCCTCGAATTAACCGATCATACTTTTTGCACACGGAATTCGAGACTCGGTATGGGGGGCCTGGGAATTTCGGAATCTGAGAAAGCCTGTAAGGAAATTTGTGCAATTGGAGGCTGGTTTGGAAGTTAGGTATATAAGTGCATTATAGTTTTTAAAGCATAAACCGGCACAGGAAAACTCGATCAAGGCGGAAATGTGAAAATTTGAGTTCCTGGAGTCTCTCTCTCACGTTCGCTCTCTCTCTCACTCACTCGCATCTCTCTCTCTCTCCCTCTCTCGCTCTGTCTCGCTCTCTCTCTTCGTCTTTCTCAAAAAATACAAGCACTTGATGGGATGACGAATCGTTGACTGTTTCGAAACGGACATTTTGGACAGCTCCTCGCTTTTCGGCGAGTGGTGAGACCAGGGGCGATAATTTTGGAAAGAGAGAGAGAGAGAGAGAGAGAGAGAGAGAGAGAGACGATTCCTTAGCAATCTGTGCTAGTTTGCACTAGCATCTAAAACGGTCACGTTTCCCAAAGGATATCTGCTAGCTTGCCCTATTTTTTTTCTGAATTTAAGGCTTCGATCCGCAAATCACCTTTGCTAGTATACCCCAAACTGAGCAAGAGACAAATAGGGAGCGAGAGATTAGAGAATAGGGAATAAGAGATCGAGAGACAGAAATACCTAAAGAGTGGGCAGAGATACAGAGTAAACAAGTAAGAAGCATCATTTGGGGAGCATGACCTTGTCTTTTCCGTCTTTCTCCTTCGCTCTCTCTTTCTCTCGCTCACTGTCTCTCTCCCTTTCTCAATTCCTCTGCAAAAGAAATGGCGCTAAAAATTGAGAAAAACCCTCATCCACCCAGCTCCCCCACACAACACAGACACACGACAATTGAGCCCCAACTACTCGTATTTGACACCCAGGGGAGCGGTCGATTAATCTCAGACAGGGGGCCGGCTAGCAGGAACCTTTGAGGAAGATAAAATTTTGCGGATTTAGGTTCGAAGAGGAACCAGCAGGGATTATTGAGGAATTTGTTATCTACCTATTCATTTTCATGTGTCAGGTTGGCAAGCTGGCAGAGATCCTTGCGGAAATAGCTCGAGCCGACCGTCAGAGAAGCCGACATAGCTTTTCAAGGCAATTAAAAGTGCCGAGGCAGGAAATAAATGGCTTTTTAGAGACTAAAAAATCACGGGCATCGAAGACGACAGGTTAACAGGGATTCTTTAGGAAAGTCCGGCGAGCCAACCGGCAGGATTTTTGTGTCGTTTGCGACCGCGAAGGCAGGCTAGCATAGATTCTTTGGAAAAACTTCTCATATCACTTGAGCCGCGTCTAAGGCCACCTAGCAAAGATTCTTTGAGAAATTTTACTCTTTCTGGTGACAATAATCAAGCCGGAGTTCCGCATTCCGGAGTACAAACTGCCGTACATTTTTGTCTGTGTTTCCGTATATGTCTGGCGGTTTGTCTCACACTCTCTCGCTCTCTCTCGCCCTATTTCTCTCTCTTTCTCTCTCACCCTCTTTCTCTCTCTCTAGCTCTCTCTCTCGCCCTCCCTCTTGCTCAGGTTCCCCAAAACGACAAGATTTCAGGTCCAGATATAGTCACGGTCCTTTTGAATTTTACCCCAAAACACCGGTGCGTTTGAAAAAAGAACACCGCCAGAGGTGAAAGAAGAAATTTGAGAAAACGAGAGAGAGCGAGAGAGAGAGAGAGAGAGAGAGAGAGAGAGAGAGAAAATCCGACAAAAAAAAGAGAAAGACAAGATCTAGACCCCAGATAATCCCCCGGGTCTTTTCTTGGGTCCACACCTGTGTGCTAAAACTCCTTTTTCTTAAGGTTTATTTTCGGAGGTAAAGGGGGAATTGGTGGTGGCGGGATCTGGAAAAACATTGGGCCAGGGCTGATCGTACACGGTGATACGGGCCGTTCTCTGGATGCCATCCGGACAAGAGTACGGAAGCGGACTGTCAACACCTGCCTGTACCCCGGGCCCGGAAAACATTTTTATTACGCCGGGGAACAAGGAAAAAGTGAAGATGATCAGTGTTCGGGTGATCAAAATGGTACTGGACTGTTAGCGGGGGGTCAGCAGGGGATACTACTGTTTGCTTTTCCGCCTGAATACATCCGTTGGTAATAAATATATACTGTATTTCATGGTGCTTTTAGTAGTTTTTCATTGCTAGAAACAATAAAAAAAATATAAAAAATTGTAAGTTCGGCAATGAACTTTGCAAGGCTGGTTCCGAATTCCCCAAATTTCCTCAACGGACTCTGCTAGGTTGCCCTAAAAATTTCTAAATTTCCTAAGCGACCACTGCTAGCCTATACCCGTTTTCTAAATTTCCCGAAAGTTCTCTGCTAGGCTATCTTTGAATTTCCTGATTTCCTAAAGAATTCCTGCAAGGTTGCACCGAAATTCTGATTTCTTAAACGATCTCTGCTGGGTCGCCCGGAATTTTCTGCATTCCCTCACTGGCCTCTGCTAGATTGCCTGGAAATTTCTTTAATGAGCTCTGCTGGTTGCCCAAAATCCTTTCATTTTCCTCAATGTTCTCTGCTAGGCTGCCACGAAATTGTCTATATTTCCTCAACCTTCTCTGCTAGCCCCCTCCCATCCTTTGAGATCTCAAAATCGCAAACTCCAAATCTCTCGAAACTTTTTGATCGGCCGACAAGACTGTAACTCGGGCCATTTCGACTCCGGGGCAACTTTGTGTACTCGGAAATGGGCCATTTACACGGGGAGGAAGATCCCGAAAAAGAGAGTATCTGATCCGAGTCTTCCTTTTTCACTTAGCTTCTAAGATACCGCTGAGTAATGGCTTTTTGTTTGGGGGTTGAGCTGGGGGGATGGCAGAGATCCAAGGTCACAACAAAAGGATCTATAGACTTGATCAAGGCAAGCATACAGACAGAGGGATCGAGGTGTTCGTTTTAAAGGGGATGAGAAGGCAAAAAAAGCTGAATCTCGTTTTTGTGGAGATTAAAAGAACTAAACTCGATTACAGTATTCGTCTGGCACATAAAAGAAGTTCTCGGTGAGAGAGATAGAGGGAGCGAGAAAGAGAGAGAGTTAGAGAGAGAGAGAGAGAGAGAGAGAGAGAGAGAGAGAAGGAGAGTGCAGTCAAATTCGAAAAATTTGAAATCCCTTCTGGCCAACTAATAAGAAGATGAAACTGCGAAGACGAAAATAATTGTATTATCTCGGAGTTCAGGTAAGCTAGCGGGAATTCTCTAGGAATGCCGGAGCTAAATTTTTAGGCTTGGCATTTCCTCAGGAATCTCTGCTCTGAAACATGCAATTCCCAAAGAATCTCGGCTGGCTGTCCCTCAGGATCAATTTTGGTGTTTTTTTGCGGAATTCACGATATTTTTAGGGGCCAATAAGCGAGAGGCTTCTGTTTAGTGAACCCTGGCATGATAGGGCAACGATTGACGCATCTTTTACCCTTTTTTCTTTCGCTCCACTCTCTCTCTCTCTCTCTTGCTCTCCATTTTCCGCTCTCTATCATCGTCATTGGGTGTGTTGTGTTTAGGTGTGTAGCGTAGCGGTAGGGACCGGTTTTCCGCGCCTCATCCTATTGCTTTCCTTGCCCAAATTTCACGCCTTTTTGGCGGCGATATCGATATGATGGCATTGGGGATGGGGGGAAATATGCAGATTAGGGAAATGTAAAAAAAGCGTGGGAGCGCTCAGAACTATAAATTAAAATTGTTTGTATCTGGCCCCAAGAACCTCTGCTAGCTTCCATATATTTTCTTTTCATATATTTCTAGGTCTGGCTGCTAGTTCCCTAGTTTCCAAATAACCGTCGCTAATTTAAGCCTTTTCAAGGCAATCTTTCCGGCTGGGTACTCTTCTTTTTCGCTAAGACAATTTTGAACAAATTCCAGACAGTCTCGAAAAAGAAAATGGCCCATTCCGCCCCTCGTGCAACGACCATTTCGCGAAATTCCCCTCTTCCCCTGCCGAAAAGTTTTAGCGTCCTGTCCCGTTGGCATGGAAAGCCATAAAAAAATTGAGTGAGGGACAGATATCGTAAGCATTTTCAGATGTTACCAACCTGGAATTGTTCACTTTTTCCGCCGGAAGCGACAAAAGTATTTGGGCTTGGCGGGAACCCCTCCGGAAAGGCGTCCTTGCCCTCGCTTGGGCTCTAAAATGGCGTGAAATGGGTGCCCCTTCTTGGTATTGCACGATTGTTTGCGCCTAAAAGGGCCCTCGGCTGGCTAGACAAAGCCATTTTCGAAACAAAAAATAGACGAGGCCGAACACTGTTGAAAAGTAGGACAAAATTGAGTGGCCAGAAAATCATGGTGATTCGGTTTGAAAAGAGCCAGAAAAGGGTGAAAATGGAAAAATCAAGAACGTCGAAAAACTTTGCTGAATTTCAGGATGCCCCGACGAAAGCATCTACGCCTTCCACAACGAGACCGAGGCGGATCGGTCGAGATATATCTTTATCGAGTACCACGCGCCCAGCTTACATGTGAGTTGAAATTTTTGAGGGTTTAAGCCTTTCTAGTGCGTTTAAAAGGCCTTTCAAGGGACTCGAACACCTGAAAATCGACGCTTTTCGGTGACTGGGTCTAGACAGCTACGCAACGCTCCAAAATACGCCCAATATCCGCTTTTGAACTCGTAGAAAACGGCGCTTCGACTTACTTGGTTAGCAGAATGAGATTGAACCGTTGTGTTTTGGAGCATAGCGTAGTTGTCAGGACCTAGTCTAAGAGACAGGTCGATTCGCGGGCTTCTTGGTCCCTTTAAAATTCCAGATTCTTTAAAAAATTCCGATTTTTAGGATTGCATCTCAAAATGCTTTGGGAACCAATTCTGCTATTCGTTGCGGTACGATGAGGGTCGACACGACACCTGCGCTATGTATTACTTCAGGTAGGGGAGTCGTCCGTCATGTAGATTTTTGGCCTCTATGGTCCTTTAAAAGCTTTCTGTCGACATATTTGTTGGCTTCAACGGTCCTTTAAAACGTCATCTTTGAGCGCGTACAACTGCACACACCAAACCCTCGTCCAAGCCCGAACCATCGAGTACAAGGGAGTCCCGGTGACGATCGACTGCCTACGGTGTCCGAATAATGGCGAATTCAGTGAGCAAACATATCATTAATGCTTTATCTGCCGAATCCATGGGATTTTTGACTTGTCAATCCCTTAAATTTCCAGTCACCGCCCCGCCGGTCGATTTCGTTGGAGAACAAACGCTTGACGCTATGCACCAACTCGACAACAAGGGATTGGATCGGAAGGGGAAGGAAGAGGAGGAGGAAACTGGTAGGGATTTGCCTTCAATGGGCCTTTAAACAGACAGGAAACTATAAAAACTACGGACCAAGAATCATTGGACCATTAATGACAGTAGGATAAGTAATGAATTACCTGTTAATTTTGTAAAAATTTATAGAATTTTGCCTTTAAGGGGCCTTTAAATCAGCTTTCTGGATAATTCTTTATCGCAATTCCTATATTTTGCGCTCAATGGCCTGTTAAATTAAAGGCAAGCTATGATATTCAAAAAGTATAAACTTATAAATTTAAATTATGGTGTTGAGACGGGTTTTGGGAAAATCTGTGCATTGTTTGTCTTCATTGGTCCTTTAAAATGTGTCACCAAGTCTCCTCTTGGAAAAACCCTAGGCTCTTGCCTTCGGTGGGCCTTTAAAACCCAATTTTTTTCAGCCGAAACTGTTCGTGTGCACCGGCCATCCGAGAAAATCGACACCACCACGGGTAGGTCTGAATTTTTAGACAAAACAATTTTGGGGGATTTGGGGTACTGTAGATAGTTTTGTATGGCAAAAATGAAAAATATTTCTTGTAGGCTGTATTTAATTCCTTGTTGTTGCTGTCTTGCTGGCACTCTCCCTTGAAAAACGGCACCAAAATTTGCAATAACCTCTCAAAGACCTTGGCCTCTAAATGGGCGAATTCCTCAAATTCCACCGGGTTACTATCGACACTTGCCGTACTGGGCGTAAAGAGAGGGAAACAGTGAAAAGAAACTAAAATCACTCTGCGCAATAAGGAGCTGCGCGGAATGTCAAGTGCCGCCCGGGCCACCCCGGGAGTAGCCGATGGCTGACTCATTTCGCAGCGAATTTTACGTGGGAATAAAGGGGGGATTTCGTGAAATTGCGCTCGTTTTTGCACAGGTTAAAACAACAAAAAATGGGATGGTGAGTAATTGGGGAATGGTTTGCGAAATTTTACGCGTAATACAACGTCTTGTCGCGAGAGATAGAGAACCGAGAGAGAGAGAGAGAGAGAGAGAGAGTAGGTAGGCAGATGAAGATGCAGAAAACTGGCCGTACATTCCGGCTGTAGTCTAGCAGAGATCTTTGCGGAATTTCTACCTTGAGCGTGACAGTGCAGATCGTTATGTAAAGTGTAGCAATACGGCAAGCTAGCAGAGGTTTTTGAGAAGCGGTTTTCAGGCAATCTAGCAGAAATCCTTGTGGAAAAAACCTAAATCAGTTTTTTCATGCTTTTTTTTAGTCGAGCCGCTATCCACGACCACCGAAGCCGCCAACTCCGAGACGGTCACCTCGCAGATCGTCATGATTCACACCGAGCCGACCACCGAGGGTGAAGGTATCGAAAAAATACATTTAAAATAAAAATTGTGCTTTTTGTAGCGTCAACCACTCCGTCAACTACAGAAGACGCCGAGGAACACCCGAATCGTATGCAAATTTCGTGATTTTTGGGAATTTTTTTGGTTTTTTAGAGCCCACCGCCACCCCGCACTCGCTACACTTTGATCCTATCGGTCTGTCGGGTTATTTAACATTAATTTTCATATTTTCACTTTCCAAAAACTTTTGTTTTGATGGGCAGCTAGCGGAGATTATTTAGGAATTTGAGGATTAACTAGCCCAATAACCCTTGTGAAATTCAGACTGCGACGGCGAGATCGCGTACTACGGGACGACGAACGTCGACTTTGAGACGGTGCAGCTGCTGATCAACGAGACGACGGCCGACACGGCAGCCGAGTGCGCCAAGAAGTGCTTCAGCGCCGGATGCGGGGTACGGTAGAAAGGGGCAGGCTAGCAGAGAAGTCTTGAGGGAAGCACGAAAATCAACCCCTTCTATCGATTAGGTCTAGACGCTACGCTCCAGATGACGCGTGCAACTTTTATATTTTTCCAGAATATGAAATTCTTAATTTCCGTGACAATACGGAGCACGTAATTTGGCGTGTTGTGTC